AACAAGTAGGGAAAGCTTTGTTAAGAGAGTCTATTGCACCATAAAGTAGAGTAACATGCCTTCAGATAGGGGTTGCTGTTCCCTCACAGGGTTTTTTCATAATGTTAAGGGCTGGAAGGGACCTTACAAGATCATCAGGTTTGGCCCCCAAATTTTCAGGTTCATGTCTGACGATTTTCCTTCTCAATATTTAACATTTGTCTAATAAGTATACCTGTTGTTATAAGTATAGGACTCTTTTTAAGGCAGCCACTCAAATCTTAAACAAGGCTATTTCTTATTACTCTAACTGTATTACTACATACCATACATTATCATCATTTTTTTTTTTCCTTAAGAGTGAAGATGAAATAAGGACTCTGAAGCAGCAAAAGAGTAAGTTATCAATATATTTGAGTTCTTAGAGGTGTTCAGTGCTTTGGTACATCAATACTTAAGGCAAATAATCAAGTATGGAAAACATCACTAAAATTTTATAAAGTAAGGGTAGCTAAACCACTATTGGGCATGATGTTCCACATATCCAAACTCTCCAAATAGTGCTCCCCGTTTACACTGACAATTAGATTAGAAAAGCTTTTGTGCTCTCAAACTGCAATACATCCGTGATGCTTTGAGTAAGGAGAAGTAGACATCCCCTCTTTCTGTGTGAAATCTAACACTTGTGGGGGTTTTGGGGTTTTTTTTTGTAGTTGATGAAGCTTTGGAACGAGAGCAGGCAACTCAAGAACTGAATGAGAGCAACACCCAGAATGCTGTTTCCGAGGAAGGAGGAGAAGAACAAGAGGAGGAAGCTGCTCCTTTAACTCTGGAAGAAAAGGAAAACAAGGATTACCTTAAATCTTTATTCGAAATTTTGATCCTCATGGGCAAACAGAATATTCCTTTGGATGGCCATAACGCTGATGAACTCCCAGAAGGCATCTTCGCACCAGAAAACTTTCAGGCTCTCTTGGAATGCAGAATAAACGCTGGAGACGAAATCCTGAGGAAGCGGTTTGAGCTGACTGCGGTAAATCTTGAGTATTGTTCTAAAGCACAACAGAAGCAGATGCTTGAGATCTGCGAGAGCTGTGTGAGAGAAGAGACGCTCAGGGAAGTACGGGACTCCCACTTCTTTTCCATCGTCACTGATGAGGTGGTTAATATACAAGGAGAGGAACATTTACCAGTTTTAGTGAGGTTTGTTGATGAGTCTCATAATCTGAGAGAAGAATTTGTGGGGTTTTTGCCTTATGAGGCCGATCCTGAAGTTTTAGCTGTAAAGTTTCATACGACCGTTACCGAAAAATGGGGTCTAAACATGGAGTACTGCCGAGGTCAAGCCTATATTGTTGCCAGTGGATTTGCTTCCAAAATGAAAGTTGTAGCTACAAGACTCTTAGAAAAGTACCCACAAGCCGTGTATACGCTGTGTTCATCTTGTGCCTTAAATGTCTGGTTGGCAAAATCTGTCCCTGTTGTTGGTGTTTCTATAGCACTTGGAACAATAGAAGAAGTTTGCTGTTTTTTTAATCAGTCGCCACAGTTACTAGCAGAATTGGACAATGTAATTGCTGTTCTTTTTCAGAACAACGAGGAAAAAGGTAACGAGCTGAAGGAGATCTGTCGTTCTCAGTGGACGGGCAGACATGATACTTTTGAGGTTTTGGTGGACTTAATACAAGCCCTGGTATTGTGCTTGGATGGGATCAGCAGTGATACGTTGGTCAGGTGGAGCAGCTGTATTGTTGGTCGAGCATTTGTACTTTCAAGCGCATTAACAGACTTTGATTTTGTAGTCACAGTTGTAGTGTTGAAAAACATTCTGTCTTTTACGAGAGCCTTTGGGAAAAATCTCCAAGGGCAAACGTCAGATGTGTTCTTTGCTGCTAGTAGCTTAACAGCAGTGTTGCATTCTCTAAATGAAGTGATGGAAAATATTGAAGTTTATCATGAATTTTGGTTTGAGGAAGCAACGAATTTGGCCACAAAGCTGGACATACCAATTAAACTCCCTGGGAAATTTCGCAGGGCACAGCAAGGTAATTTAGACTCTGAAATAACATCAGAAAACTATTACAAAGAAACACTTAGTGTTCCAACTGTGGAGCACATAATTCAGGAGCTAAAAGATATATTTTCAGAACAGCATTTAAAAGCTCTTAAATGTTTATCTCTGGTACCCTCAGTCATGGGACAGCTAAAATTCAATACCTCTGAGGAACATCATGCTGATATGTACAAAAATGATCTGCCTAACCCAGACACCCTTTCTGCAGAACTTCATTGTTGGAGAATCAAATGGAAGCACAGAGGAAAAGATATCGAGCTTCCTGCTACCATTTACGAAGCACTTCATTTGCCTGACATAAAGTTTTTCCCTAATGTGTATGCATTGCTCAAAGTCCTGTGCATCCTTCCAGTGATGAAAGTGGAGAAAGAAAAATACGAAGTTGGACGGAAACGCTTGAAAGCGTACCTGCAAAACACCTTGACGGAGCACAGGTCAAGCAACCTCGCTTTGCTTAACATAAACTTTGATATCAAGCATGACTTGGATTTGATGGTGGACACTTACATTAAACTGTATCCAGATAAAGTAGAATTTCAAGAGGATTTTGTTCCCTCCAACAATTCAGAAGTAACAGAAAATGCTTAACTACAAAAGTCTGTAGCCAGTTTGTTTTAAAAACTTTTTTCTGTATTCAGGATTTAACACACAGAGCAAAAGCTGTAACATGTATGTAATCTACCTTAATCACTGCAGTTGTCCAGTCTGAGGCTGAGGCTTAAAGCAGAAACACAAGTGTTGGCCCGCAATCCAAGTTAAGTTTTGTTAATCTGAGTTAAAATATTATGTGGGGGAAAAAAATGAACTCGCGGGAAAATAAGCTACTAGGCTTCACAAAGGCAGTTCTCAAATTCTCCATCTGAATGACCTGACTAAATGCTCAATTATTTTGTTGCGTTGTTTTTGGAGAAATAATGTGATTGCGGCAGATCCCGTGGTCTGTTTCCTATTCACGCCCAAATGTTCGATTAACAAAAAATTAAATGGAACAAATCCATTACTAGAGATTTGTTTGTTCGAAAGCAGTTTTAAAGTGGTATATATTAATGCAGAGTGGATCAGCAGTCGCACAACTGTTGCCGCTGATTGTTTTCTCTACATAAAGTGAATATTAGTGAATATAGAGGTACATTTTTTTTTTTTTCTTTTTTAAGGCTCAGTAAAAGATCCAGCCTCTGAATCACCTGGCTGTCATTTTACATTCCTTTCTGTGAGAATGCACAGTAATTGTTTTAAGGCGTTTAACAAGTCTGACTTAATATTGCAATGAATTAAAATCCTCAGAAATACTGACTTGTAAAGTTTATTCCATAAGCATCTAAATCTGTTTTGTCCTGACTTACACTATATTGTGTACATCTCTTGCCTCCATGCTACTTGTAAACCTACCCTGGAGAGATTACAAATAAGAGTTCATTGTTTGTCAAGAAGTGTTATGGAAAATATTGCTGTTATTTTTGGCGAAAGGAAACAATTTTTGTACAGCTTATTTCAATCTAAAATTAAAATGTGAATTTGGTTTTTAAGAAGTATTGATGTTTATTAGTAAACCAGTGATTCTTGGTGAGCGAGAAAATGTTCTTTAATGAAGTGTTTTGAGTTCTGGTTTTGTATTACATTGTTCCTACAAGCCCAGTGAACGACATGTCGGATGGCAACACATTTCGATCATTAGTTGATATGGGACTGGACCATATAATATCACTTTCCATTAATATGTTATGCTATAATTGTGTGAGGGGTTTGTTGGGTTTTTTTAAATATTTTTGGAATAACTAGAAATGTAACGTTATTCAGTTTAAAATTTTGTTTTAAATGGAGACATTCATTATTGGCAGCCATCGGTCTCAGGAGACCATGGAGGTGGCACTTCTGGGTTACCAGGTGCCGCCACAGCTTCATGAATAAGCTGAGTCTGATGCGCGACAAGCAGATCCTTCAGCAAGTTGCACATACAAACTCGATTCAGCCTGCACCGACAAGCCGAGTACCGTCTTTTGTCTTACCTGTTTCTGACACCTTTTCTCTATCTCATCGTTGACCTTTTCAATCTCAAAGTGATGTAGGCCCTGGAGACATTAGCAAATGTAATGTAAAACATTTTAAAAAGGGATTAAAATGCAACTTCAGTTATAGTATCCACCCTGAGCTCCTGCCAGGTTTTGTAGTTCAGTATTTATGATCACACGCTTAATTCCACTTTTAAAAAGAATTCAAGCAAAATCAATTCTGCTTTGAAAAGAATGTTTTCTCTCCTTGGTTGCAGTAGAAAAGACCCAAACAAATGGGGGAAAAATGAAAAACTACAGGAAATAATATGGCAGTTGCATAATCTCCAAATTGTTGTAATGTAAAGCAAACAGTATGAATAAGTGAAAGCTCTTTTTTTTTTTTCTTCCTTTCCTAGGTGTACTTATTTTCCAAAAATGCATTTGGAAGCATTTATTTTAGAGCTATAACTGTTAACTCTCAAAAAGCTCTAGCTTCTCTTCTAATGCCGTAGAGACTCCCCCCAGTTTACCTCTTTAAACAATGCTATCTTTTCTTAATGGTATTCTTGCTGCCTTACCCAGTAAAATGTTTCACTTAACAGCTTGCGTGTTTTACCACTGAATTTAGGAACAACTAGCCCTGATCCCTTTCTGCCTACTAGCTTCTAAGGTAAGTGGCTCTAACTTGCAGGGCTGGGAGCCCAGGTGACAGCAAGAGCTGGCCTGGTCTTGCCTAAGGGTGCATGCCAGCGGGCCAGGCCAGTGCCCTGTGCTATGTGCAGTTGCTGGGCATCTCTGCCAGGAGCTGGCCTTTAGTGCCCTGACAGCCGCTGTTGTGAGGGGGGCTGTGCACCATGTGGGGGACCGGGCAAGGAGCCAACCTCTCCCGCATATTTGCCATTTTTAAACAGGGAACACCAGAATCGCTGCTGGTGAGGTAAGTGCTGGGACCCGGGCCGAGGAGCCTGCCCAATGCCAGCACCAGGGTCCCAGCTGGAAGATGGACAAGGTGGTTGATCTGGCCATTTGGGGCCAGGAGGACATGCTTTGACAGTTCAAAGTTGGCCACCACAACGAGCACAGCTTCCAGGTGACAGCTGCCCAGATGGCAGAGCGGGGGCACCAGAAGACATGACCACAGTGCTGCCTACTGTGCAGCCACAGCCCACTGGTAGCTGGCCTAGAGATGCAGGCAGCTCTGCTGCAGCGCTCGTATCACAGCCCAGGTTGCCGTGCAGTCCCCATCTGGGTCTAGCAGACATGCAGTACTGGGGCGGCAGGTCCAAAGGGGCAGGTGCTGTCACAGGTGGCAGCAGTCTCCACTGCCAGACTGCTGCAGTGGGTAGAGGGTGCAGGGGCCACTCTAGGCTAGGGTTGCTTCAGCAGCCCAGCTGGCACAAGGGGCTAGTGTGCCAGGTACCAAATGGCTGGGCTTCAACAGGTGCTGGCCCTGGCCTCTAGTTTCCCCTGGCTAAAGATCCAGGAGCAGCTGAGCAGGGTCAGTTTGCCCCAATTGGGCACATTCAGACGAGTATGGCCATGCAGTATGTGGCGCCACAAACACATCTGCAGCACCACGTACCGCACAGTCAGGTGTTCTCCGTGGTGCAAGTGTGCGCTGCCTACGTGTGCACTGCTATGGGGTTTTTTCCCATGGGTTTTTTTGACCCCCTGGATCTGCAGCAGTCAAAAAAACCCATGGGGAAAAAATGGAGCAGCGCACACACGGGCAGTGCACGCGCAGGCAGTGCACACTGATGAAAAGTGGAGCCGGGCCATGCAGAACGATGCTGTGGCTGTCAGCCAGGCTCCACCCAGCAGTATCATCACGTCTGCACCTTTGGGAGGCCCCCAGGATCCCAAGTAAAGCTCCTGGGGCCAGCACAGTGCTGACCCCAGCCTGCCCTACCTTCCCCGAGGTAACTTGCCGTGCGCCAAAACGCATGTGGCACAGGTGTTCCTTGGGGGCAAGCAGCTGCAGTGCAAGGTGTGCCGCTGCTGCTTGTCCCCAGGGAACCAAATGCCTGCACTCATTTGGACATGGCCAAGTGGCATAATTTGCCCCACACCAACGTGCATGTTCCAGCACGTGCTGAGGCACAAATCCCCCGCACAAACTTGTGCTGCTGCTATTTGATCTGCTACAAGCGCATGTGCCTGCATGTGCGTGCAGATGTTTTAATGGAATATTTTTTAGATGCTACGTGCACACTCTGACTCATGGCTGCAAAATGGTGTCAAACACTATGTAATTATGGCCAAACTGAAGATTGAAACTTGCAGACTTCAAGTCCATGTTGAAGAGTGAGACTTTTGCTTAGTGTGTCAAAGGAAAGAAGCCGTGGCATTCTTTCATCATGTCAAGGCAGGAGAGCAGGCAGGCTCCCTTCCTTGCAGAAGAAAAATCAGTGGACTTCTGTATAATAATTCAGTGGGACATGGATTGACATGCAATATGCTTCAGTGACTTTCAGAGAAAGGCACCTAGGATGTGACAGCAGCAGAACTAACTGTTGACAGGGGGCTCTCCTGCTAGAGCGCTGCACGTGGCAGTAGAAAAACAACATTTAAAAGGAAACAGGAAACAAAATGGCTAAAAGTGAGCCCAAGGTTTGTTCTGAGCTGGAAAATTGTAAGGTCGTAAACTCTTCTCCCTTTTCAGAGACAGGGAGGCTATGGAGTTCAGTCCCCAAAATTCATTGGAAAGCAGTATGCCCTGTTGCCTTGCCCTGTCTTCCCCCCCCCCACCCCAGCCTCTAGCTCATCTGGCATGCCCAGACTTTGATGCAGACAGATTTGGCTATGGCGCTTTTGTGGGGAGTTCTCTGCATGATCAAATGATCTGCCCATTGAAACCTATTCAGCTGTAAGTGCGGTGATCGTCTGCTTCTGCTGTAATACGGAGCATGTCAAGTTCCTGGCTGATGGCTGGATTCCGATTTTGAGGATAATGTTTGTCCTAGGACTGTGCTGCTTTCCTTCCCTTTTCCCCTGACGGTGTCAGATACTCAACTGCACTAGAGAACTCCTTGCAATTCACTGTTGGTCCTCTGGAAAAATAACAGCGTGGATGGAGCTTTTTATCTTCTGTAATACCATTTCTGACCGGGGCTGCAGAAATCCTGTCCCTGTTTGCCTGCCAGAGCACAGCTGCAAAGAAGCAGAGAACCAGAACCGCTTAATGACTCTGGATGCAGCTGTCCTGTGGCTCACTGCACTTACAAGTTGCTGTGAATACCGCACCACTCGCAGCTGCCAGAAATGGCCAAATTACTTTAATGAGATGAAAATAAATCTCCTGGTTGGATCCGTTTCAAGAAACAATTACTGGTTTAAAAATAACAATAAGTGTGATCCCAAAGTAGGCTTAACATTAGATAATTTCCAGCCTTTTATTGCTCCTTCCTTCCCCAAGGAAAATGTGTTTTACAGAAGGTAGCGTGCATGCTACACTTCCACAAGTCTGATCTGTCGTAGCAGTGAGACGTGAAAAGAACCCAATCTAGAATCCAAGGTGATGGTATATTTAAGAGTCTTCTAACAAACAAATATCTGAAAATGCTCATGGGTTTTTAGTGCTTAGTACAAATAATGCAACTGGCCTCTGTTTCACTGTGCACAGCCCTTAGAGCAGCACTCTTAATTACATGATAAATAGACCGGGATTCGGGAGGCGTCATAGGAAAATTAATAGTTCCTTGTTAACGTGCTTATAGCAAAATATGTGTTAGTTTGTCCATTAACTCTACCAGATGTATATTCCCTTGATATAAGTTCTCCTCTCACAGTGTCCCTGGGACTCCCCCTTTGCTTCAACCAACAGCGCAACCATCTTTAAAGGACAAAAATCATCTAGTGCAGGAGTGGCAAATTCATCGGCCCTGCAAGCTGGATGAGAGGCACCAGCCCAGTCCACAGTCCCATAGAACAGCCCCACATGCTGGACCTAGGTCAGAGGGCCAGCATGGCACAGTACAGTGGGCAGTGTGTACCCAGGACCAGTCCAAGTACAGACTAGCCCTGAGCACTGTCCATAGCATGCACCAGACCAGCCCCATGCTCCCAGCGTAGTGTTCAGCATGGGTGACTGGTGCCTCCTGAGTCTGGGAGGGTACCCGCAGGCGCCATCAACGGCATCGGCGCTGGGAGTAGAGCTGGCAAGCTTCTGCAGGTGCTGCCGTTGGCAGTGGCCCTGTTGGGGGGACATGTGCCCCCTCGTGCCCCTTTTACGTGTCGCCTGTGGTGTTCAGGGTGGTTCAGTGTGCCCTACAGCAGCACGTGGGTCCACTCTGAGACCCCTAAGCAGCACCAAGGGCCGGATGATAGGGCTCTGCATGCCAACACTCCTGATCGAGTAAGAAGGAGGAAGGGCAGACAGCGTCTGCTTCCTTTACCCTACAACATTAGCAGCACCCCCACAGAGGATGAGTTAAGAAATGACTGGACCTATTATCTCATCTCTTGGTTCCATGCATCTGTTCAGCAGTGCCTTTCTTCTCTGGGTACTCTAGGAGATTAGAGAAAAAACATGTCTC